TATAAGAAGGACGTGCTATTATTAGGGATAACATGAAAACGGGTTAGCCAATGGGGGTATAAGGATAGATTATATGCTAGTTCTTTATGAAATTTGGGTGGTAGTTAAAATACTGGAGGACAAGATTAGAGAAGTGGATATACTGTAGGCATAGGTAAGCGTGACTAATGCATTTAAGATGTGACTAACATAGTGTTTCATCGTAAATTGCATGCTATCGCTAATATTTATTTTGCTTTTAAATTCACTTTTGGTAAAATGGGTTTCGGAAAACTGGGATTCGGCAAACTGGGTTTCGGCAATCCGGATGGATGGGATACTGCATAGGCATCAGTGCTAATACAGACTTGGGCCGCGCCTTTCCCATCTTAAATTCAGTATTAGGCCTACCTGTTAAATCGTTTATATGCAGCAGGAATTTCTCCAGGGTTAATAATTGTCTATATTTTTAAAATTTAATTTAATATTATTTTTCATTGTATATTTGGATGCATTGTTCCAAGAGGACATTTGTTAATTAGTTCTCGTAAGCTCCGATGAGGGCAGTATATTTGAGGCAGTAGCCCATACGAAAAATATCTATTAATCAGCCAAGTGTTTCTAGAGCTCCTCGACGGAGCTAAAAAAGTTAACATGTGAAGTATGTATTATGTACTGAACTGTACTTTAGTAGTCTATACACTTACGAGCGTACGTAATTTACCTTCCGTCTAAGGCATCTCTAGCCAGTGTAGACACATGCTTTCAACATACATACAGTAGTTTTTCTTATCTTATTACGAGAAAACTCATAAACTGATATAATCTCTTTATACAAAACCCATATAAAATAATATATCAAAAAGAATTATATAATGTTCTTCCTTGAGCCCGTGGTTAATTAATAATTATATTAATAATAACAAATAATATTAATAAAATAAAATATAAATTAAAAATAATAATCAATATATACTTATAAAAACATAAAAAACCCTATAAATAATTATTACAGATAAAATACATATTCAATTATAGGAATAACATTAAAAGTAAACAATATTAAAACAATAAGATTAATAATTCAAGAAGGAAATTTCACATAGTATTTACAGATGAATATACAAATTCATTAAAAGTAATAATGCAAACACAACCAACAATTTAGAAAAATTTCAAAATTATAAATAATTAAAATTTCTTTTGAACTCGCGGAAACATTTTTAATTTTTTGTTATGATATCGGATATGATAGCATGGACTATGCTTAAAGATGTACATTTACTTACGGATAAGGTGAACATCATGCAACTTGTAATGTATCGTGCAAAGTCCAAAGGTTCCAACAATAAGTAGAATAAGAAGACATTTTTTCACAATCTTAACCATATTTCAGCGTTGCTATAGTATGATTATTTCTTTCTGTAATGCAAATTAATAAAAGCAATATGAATACCATGCGATTAATGCCTACTTGACGTATTTCCGAGTGGTAAAAATGATTAGTGACCCCTCTCTGAATTATAAGGTACATAAAGTACAACTTCCAAAATAATCATTTATTATGTGTGAAATATAACATGAATCCGGTCTCATATTATTACATAATTTACATTTATTTTAAAATTGTGTGGTCAAATAAATGTTATTTTCGGTATCCATCTATGCTCGCGTAGGTCCTCTTTCCTTGGGAAAAACAGTATAGTCGTTGTAGTGAAGTCCCCCCTCCCCAATTTTCAGTTAAACTGGAATGCTATCCCGTAGATTTTTAAGCATTAGACCTACATAATGTTTAGGCCGCTGGAATCAGGAATCTCTATGAGGTATCTAGGAGAGCCAACAGGAACCAATATGGCATGGTGGGGTTCGGGGGAGGGTACGATGGGGAGGGGAGGGGAACTGTCTCTTATAGACCGAAAACAAAAAGGTCTTAAGTTGCGATTTAAAGTTGCAAAGAGTAGAACGAGTAGTTATAGTAATTGGAAGCTGGTTCCGAAGAGAAGCAGAAGCAAAGGAGAATGAGTATTGACCATAGGTTTAAGTAGAATATTTGGAAACAGAGATGAGATTATATAGCCTATATGTATATCTATATTCATATATAGGCCTATTAAATATACTGATATCGTATCTATTGAATACAATCTAAGTTATTTTCTTCCATTAGGTAAACGTATGCTTCGTATCACGGTACGATGCACTAAAATATTTTTGAAAGCAAATGAATATCGGCACGCATGCGTTTGTTGGATAGGCCTATTTTAAAGTTGTTTCGACTATATCTTGAGGGTGTTGATCGCTTTTTAACATGGTTCAGATAATTATTTAAAGTTAAATGTTAAAAAGACAAAGGAGATTATCGTTGATTTTAGAAAAGGCAACAAGACTATAACATAACTATGACCTGACTATTATACATGATAAGGTTGAAATTGTTAAACATCATAAATATCTTGGTACAATTATTGATGATAAGCTTGACTGGAAAGAGAATACAAAGCACATTACCAGTAAGTGCAATCAGAGGCTGTACTTCCTAAGACATTTGAAGAAATTTCATGTATGTAATAAAATCATGGTACTCTTTTATGAATCAGTCATTTTATCAATTCTAACTTTTAGTGCAATAGTCTGGTTTTATAGCCTTGATAAACAGAACATGAAAAAACTTGTAAGAATTAGTAGAACAGCTGACAGAATTATAGGGACTAAAAACAGTAAGAATATAGAAGATTGTGTTGTTTACAATGTGTAAAAAAATGGAATTAATTATTTCAGATGTTAATCACCCTCTTAATCAGTACCTCGCCTTCAGCAGGACTGGACGCATAAGAATAATGTCAATCAAAACGTCGAGATTAAAAAATAGAAAATACCCGTGTAAAACAACAAAAATTAAAAATTTAGACGCAAGTTGATTTCAAATGCTGAATCATTATTAATGATATATATGTTATATATATTTCTATAAATTAATCAACAAATATCTCAATCATCACACCATCGTAAATAGACCTATTGAAGTATTACCGTATTCTATATGCATTATTCGAGCACCTTTATTATTATTATTATTATTATTATTATTATTATAATCATTTTTATTATTATTATTATTATTATTATTGTTATTGTTATTATTATTATTTTTTAACCATAGTAACATTGAAAACATGAATTATATGGATAAAATCATCATCACAAAAAATAAACTTATAAATTATAAGATTGTATTTTGAAACAGAATAAAATAGATAACATTTTATTATTATTATTATTCATTATTATAGTATTATTCGAGAACTATTATTATTATTATTATTATTATTATTATTACTACTACTACTATTTTATTTATAGTTTTTGTTGTATTTTTGTTTTATGTATGGGCCTAGGCATATGTATATATTTAATAATTAGAAATAATCATAATTAATTGTAAAACATATATAATATAATGACAAATAACAATAATATAGGCTAGCTAGGCTAGACCGATACCATAATCTATCGATAAAAACATCCACTTGATTAATTAAACAGCTGCTTTTCGAGTGGCAGTGGCGATTGAAAATCGGAGCTTTTTCTGCACTGCTGCAGTGCCGATAGAAAACAGAGCCGATAGCCACTACCGTATTTTACACCGTTAAACAAAATCAGGAATATTGTAGTTCATCCAAAAGACAGTATAGAAAAGGAAACACATGTGGGGTTGTCTATGAGATTGGATGTAAAAATTGTGACAAAGTTTATATTGACGAAACGGGCAGGGCACTAGAAACGAGAACAAAGGAACACATGACAGATGTAGAGAAACATAACGTTGGAGTAAAAACAACCCATACATAAAAATTCTATAGAACTTTATAGACCTTCTATAGAGACTAATCAATTTCTACAGAAATTAGTATTTTCTATAAAATTGTTTTATAGAGGAACTAGATTCTATAGAGTTCTATAACATACTATATACACATATTTAATGTAATTTCTATGTTTTTAAGTTTTTTTTGTTTCATTCAATATTGTATTGACACATTCGTGTCTGACCAGTATAGTCCTATCAACATGTTTTACATCTTGCATATTCTATAGAAATTATATAGAGTATTCTATACAAATGATATGACAAATTCTCTATAAGAAAAATTATAAAATTTCTATATTTATTCTATAAAAAATTATAGTCCTTACCTGTATTTAAAAAAATTTATTATAACAATTTTATAGGGATTATCGCTATAGGAACATATAAAATCTATATAGAGTATAACATATATGAAATTTCTATATAAATTTATTTATTTATAGTATATTCTGTAGAACTGTATAATATTCTAAACACAGTCATTTTAAAAACTGTAACTTTTAATAGTCTATAGAAAATATATATAAAATATATATAAAAACTCTATGGAAACATTTATAATCTGTAAAATTGTTTCTCTATAGAAAGTATATATAAAATGAATACGAACGCTATGGAAGTGTTTATCTGTAAATGAAATATTAAAAATTATTTAAAAAATTATATCTATAAAAAAAATTATGTATTAATGTATATATAAAATCTGTTCAAACTCTATGAAAAATTTCTGGAACAGCTAACACGTAGCCTTATGGGAACTTTATGGGGATGGAAGGGGGAGCGGGTCTGCCCCTAAACTTATCCCTCACATATTCACCTAACAACAATGCTTTTTATGTGACAGCAAAATGTTATCAACAGCAAAACCTCTTTACTGTGATAGCCCACCTAACAACCAATTAATGTTAGTGTCGAATTGCACAAATCTGATTGGTCACTTCATCAAGTGACCAATCAGCTGATTTGAATTGTCACTTCATGTAGAGCCAACGGAATTAGCGGTAGTATTTTGAATTTTTTTCTCTGGACTTGTCATGATGTTAGGCAGTTATAAACATACTCCTTGGAAGTATTTTAGCAGTACTGTATCCACTATTAAGTGGTAAGACTTGGTTTTGTTTTATTGTTCTATTATTTAGTTAGTTTACCACTCTATATAGGTATGTTACAAACCGTGACGTCACGCCTCCTTAATTGGTCGCTTGTTTACCGCGAGCATAGCGACCTTAGGTCAAGGCCTAGGGTTTCCAAAAATTTATAAATAATACTTTTCCAACTGGAAAGCTATGATGCCATGTCTTAACATGCAGATAAAAGGTCAAGGAAAGGTCGTGCATCTGAATTGTTTTCATCCATCTTGTATTTACACAGTTATTGACGTTCGAAAATAAGACTCGATTAAAGTCCACTTTTTTTTCAGAAGGTAAGATGTAAGTGCTTAGTAATCATATATACTTGTTAGTTTATTGCATGATTGTTATTTTTACCAAATATGAAGGATTTTTATGGTTTGGAAGGTAGTTTTCTAGGTTTGGGAAACAGTACTTTCACTACCGCGATGCTGTACACAGTAACAGTATGGCGTCGCTCGATTGTCGTACGTGCTGCGCTAGGTAGAATGTCAGTAGGATTAAAGTTTTTTAAGTGATTAAAATCCACAAATATCAGTATATGTATAACACAGATCGATAATTTAGTTTTTATGCGTGTATTAGGAGTAGTTTAAATTATTTATGCTCCTTGAAATTAGACGCTAGGGGATTGAAATTTAAGGTAAAATTGATATAGGAGTTATACTTTTGGATGGTTAAGGTCACATGACCTTAATCACAGGGTCTGATTGGCTGAATTGGTAGAGTATTGCTTCTTTGGTTCTAAAGCATTAAGTATACATTTTTTTATATATATAGATTGCTACAGTACTGTCTTGTAATTCTTCTCATCTGGAGATCTGTTTCCTTTTCAATAATTTCTGACACTTTTTAATGGTAAGTTTATAGTTTATAAATATTGTTTTGAAAATAATAGATTTTTTAAATTAAAAAGAAATGAGTATATACTATTACAGGGCAAAACCTCCCACCAGGATTTTTTTTTAAAGAGTGGTGGAATTTCCATAAATGCCCGAAAA